TATTTCTAGATCGTTTTTGCAGTGTACTTAAAGAAGTTTGAATTCTGAATATGACCGAACCTTTCCTTTAAGACAATACATATGTTGAAAGAGAGTATTGCAAAAAAACATGTATTTAAAAACACAATTTCCAAATAAAAAGCTCAGCCCATGTTTAAGATGTGAATATAATGAGTCCATCCTGTGAGGCAGAAACGTTCCACTGAAACAGCCTCCATCTGAGCCCTGCAGCTGCCTCCTAACCTTTACAGAACATGGTTTCTTCAGAAAACACTGTTTTCAGATGGATTATCTTATTGTTAAACTTTTTTTTTTGTGTGTGCAGATTTTTTAACAGATTTTCAAACCAAATCACAGCAGCTTGAAGGTGTGGTTGTCCTTCTGCATGTCACTCACTAAAAAAGAGGTAGAGGCGATGTAGAAAGCATTTTCTGGGTCACCCCAGCAGGCAACGAAATGAAGAGTGGAAAGCTGTGAAGTTGCTGTTATAGCCCAAAGGAAGACATTTTTCCTGGACCATATGGCCCTCTAAAGATAGAGTGGAGGAAATTTATCTTCAAAACAGCCAGCCTTATTGTTCTGCAGTAAAATCTCTTTATTCCAGTGGTTCACTATCAGCCAAATTGCAGCTGAAGAATGTCAGATGAGACTATCGACTCCAAATCTGCGAAAACAAAGAATTGTTTCAACTACACGCTTTGTTAAATCTCATTAACTCGTGTTCATTCATCCATGTAACCCAAGCGACCACACAGACCGATAAAATCTCTGAGTCCTAAAGCATTGCACAAAACGACAAAATAACAGCTAGACGTTAAATGAGGCAAAAATGTTGCATGTTCCTTTAAGAGCACTATGTCCCTCTCTTCATGTCTTTCTCTAAGCCTGGTGTGTTTCTTGGCATCAGCTGTCCTCAGTGCTGAAGAGAGCAAGGACATCTTTTCTTTCATGACAGTGGGATTAGGAGGAGAAGTTGCTTCCTTATTCTGCAAGCTATCATTTCAGTGCAAAGACGAAGTAAACCGGACATCATGGACAGGAGATGTAGAGAAGATGAAGATAAGTAAAAAGTTTGGATAACAAAGCTGCTTTATTTAAGTTTATCGAGAGAAGAAAGCATTTTGCGCTCAGGTCTGAAGGGAAATGGATTTATAAGCATGCAGATGCAGAAAAAAAATCTTATTTTTCTGCTTTCTGAGCTATTATCTTAAAAATAGGTGATCAGAAATGCTGTAGCACCGTGATGGAAGATCCGGCGTCTTCATTGTCTTCCTCTATCCACTTTGTGTCTTCACCACCACAACTGCCTCAGAGGACCTATCGGAGGATCAGCCGCTCAGAAGAGAGAGCTCCTTTTCCAATCCCCGGCCTTGCTTCTGACATCCTGCACATGCGAGTCAAAGAAGGTAGCAAAATTCGCAATTTACTGCGGTTCGCAACATCTCGCATGCAAGGGGAAGGAGAGGACAGCAGTGCAACTGCAGTGAGACAAGTGGTCTTTACAGGGTTGGGTAGGGGCATCACCAAGACCATCACCTGCGTGGAAATCCTGAAACGTAAAGTGCCAGGGCTGCATCAGGTGTCCAAACTTTGCTACATGAAAGTTAATGAGGTTTGGGAGGGTCCCCAGCAGGAAGTGGCAGGTACAACTGTGGAGAGGACGGTGCCTGCCATCTGCATCCTGCTCTCCAAAGACCCTGTGGATCCCCAGGAGCTCGGCTATCAGCCTCCACAAACCTTCAGCTTTCCCTCAGAGGAAGTGGAGAGACGCGGGGATCTGCTGAGAACAGCTGGCAGGCCGTCCTCATTGCACGCTGCCAAGAGGCTCTGTCTGGATGATTGGACTGGATGTTCCACCAAAAGCTAGTTTAATTACAGATTTTAAAAAAACAATAAAAATACATGTATCTGCTCCTTCTTCATAGGTTTACCTAAAGAAATAAACTACTATTGTTTATTCCTTATATTTGTTTTAGTTATTATAGTAATAAATGTGTCTACTAATGACACAAATTTTAGTTGCATGTTATGTCTTTTGGTGATCTGATGCTTAAAAACTGTGTTTCTTGTTATCTTCATTCATATAATTTATTGTCACATTGGTTATAAGTGTTTCTGCATGGTTGTTGACCTGCCTGATATTAAAATTGGAAAATGTGGTAACAGTGTTTACATTTTTTTGGCTGTTTTGTGTTTCAAAAATGTCTCCTGTTTGTTTTTAACATGTTTGAAGGAAAATCAGCAGTTAATTTAAGCTGTGCAGCTCCAGGGAATATAATTTATTCTATTCCGCAAAACCCGTGTTTTGAAGGGAGCATCACTGCTGCAGGTAAAGTGTCTGAGAAAGAATCAGCACTGGTGGGGAAAAAAACAAACATATTTTTATTTTATTAAAAGCTTTATCATTAACAAAAAATTTAAATGAACAAAATGTGACAACAGTTGCACATTAATTAAATATATTGAATTGCATAAAAAGTACA